ACCGAAAGAACCAGATAGTATGGCTTCTTGCAGTCACGACAACTTCAAATCAAGATTGAAGCCACAAGGGTTGGGGAAAAAATCAGCAGCATCGATGAAACTATCGTGGATCGTAATCGGCCGCGATTTAATCCACTGCTGGATGATGACCTCCAAAAGCCGATTCCTGCAATGTAGCACAGACATTCCTAATGAAGGAAAAAGCATGTTTGGGGAATATCGCGGAAATCTAAATGTGTCGTTAACACATCACCACCCGACACAGCCAATTAGTCAAGGTTTGTCGTGACGATTAGTGACTACTTCAGCACTACCGCTTGTGTGACATTTCGCTGGTGTTCTTGGTTCTTTCGGTAAAGTCACGTAGAAGGGAAATAATAAGAATAAAACATAATAAAATACAATTCTCACGACGTTTCGGCCACAACGCAAGCAGCCGTCCTCAGGTGTCCTTTCCGACAAACCTGTTCTTCACCTGAGGACAGCTGCTTGCGTTGTGGCCGAAACGTCGTGAGAATTGTATTTTATTATGTTTTATTCTTATTATTTAATTATTTCCCTTCTACGTGACTTTACCGAAAGAACCAAGAAGATGAATCCCTGCAGTCACGAAAGCTTTAAATCGAAATTTCGCTTGTGATTACAACAACAACAATCAGCTTCATCAGGCAGATTTGTTAGAATTGGCAAATCCCCAGGAATCACCTACGACCGGAGGGATTATTCTTCCCCGAATATTTTTTTAAATTAGCAATCCACTGCTGGATGAAGGTCTCCCGAGAGCCCTTGCGTCATACTTTCACCCCCTTACGTTGTAGAACCCTTCCAAGTCAAATCAACGCATTTGGGAAAACGGTGTAACTGTGTAAACTGTGAATGAATAATCAGAAAATCAAGCGCTGATGATTGCTTGTGCTGCAGTCGAAACGTCGTGAGAATTTTATTGTTTTATATTTTAATTATTTTATTATTTCCCTTCTACGTGACTTTACCGAAAGAACCAAGAATATGAATCCCTGCAGTCACGAAAGCTTTAAATAAAATAACAATAATGGCATTTGTCCAGGAAAGCCTCACCGAATTTCAAGGCTGCTATTTGTATTTACTCTCCAGAGTTCCCTGTTCTACATGGTGGTCCAAATGTCTTGTGACCCCCCCCCCCCTACCATTTAAATCTGTAAAACTTAATTTTGAAAACAATTAAAGTGAGGCTTATTTATAACAAAAAATGATTATGTTAAAGGAAATCAAAAATGTTAGGGATAAATTAATTGGGGCGTCACAAGACATCTGGACCAGCCTGTTGTACATTGGGGATGTTTGGCCAAGCCCCAGGATATGAGAGCGTTCAAGTCGGGCCGACCAAAAATACTTCACCAGTTGGAATGGGACTGCTGCGCACTGGCTTATCCAGACGTTTGGGTGGCACCGCCGATTCGCCCCACAAGCCCTCGACAGGAAAACGGGGGAAATGAGACGAGATGAAGGATAAGCCACTCCTCCGATAACCACGACCGATTACCGGGGCCTTGAGGAGTCCTTCTTGCGGCACGATGATAACCATCTCATTACCATCGAGCACACTCCGGCGATCCTCGCAGCAGCAGCGGCAGCAGCAGCAGCGGCGGCAGCGGGGGCTGTTGGCCAGCCCTCAAACGAAGACGGCGCTCACTGCCATCGTTCGGCACTGTCGGGCACGCGCTTCTGCGGCCCTCCGGGACGCTCTTCCTTACCGGCATTAGGAAGCCGCTGGAGCTGCGCCCTTTTCAATCATTCTGAGATTGAAAACGCACGTACATGCCCGCTTGGGTACAGGGGCTAAGCAGGGCTAAGCTTTTCCATGAGTTTCAATCGGACGCCGTGAATTAATTGATTCATCCAATGTTTCGTTTTGGAGGTGCGATCATAAGCATAACGAGTTCTTCGTCATCACGATTCGTGTGGCAGGATATCCCGTGGGTGCCCGCTGCACATTGCGTCATTTGTTTCCACTTTCCTCTCTCTGTCTTGTTCCAACACGCTCAAGCGGTGCCACGTCTTGCTGGCACCAATCTCTTGTGTCGCTGTTGTTCTCAGGTCTTCCTCTCTTTTTCCGGTTCCATCCATTTTCCAGGCATCACACTTTAAACTTTCCTGTTATCCATCCTACAAACATCGATTTTTAAAGCCCGCACTTCTGTTTGTCCATCAACTAAATTATTAAAGCCGTTCAAAAGGCCTGAATCAAAAAGTTGAAGGAAATGGACCTCCACCCCCCCCCCCAAATGTGTGGGTAAAAAGTTGATCAAACAGGTTTACAACAATTGTCGACACACGCAAAAAAATTCTGCTTTTTAAACATCTACACACCCTACATACAATAGTCAGTAGTATCTACTATCTACTAACTATATATACCTACACACCCTACATGCAATATAGTCAGTAGTGTCTACTGACTATATTCAACCTACACACTCGACATACAATAGAGTCAGCACCATCTAGTAGTATCTACTACTGACTCTACTAGATACAGTATCTACTACTGACTCTACTAGATAGATACTACTGACTCAACAATAGAGTCAGTAGTACCTACTGACTCTACTGACTCTATTATAGTATCTGCACCCATTGGGGTTGAGAGGGTGGAATAAGAGGACATCAGTGGGGGTGACACGTGTGGTGCAAAGCGCCGAGAAGCCCCCTGCGTAGGAGCGAGAAGAAGGAGGCCAGAGGCCGCCGATTTGCCGTGTCCACATCGGCATCACTGCCGGCATCACCAGGTCCTCTTCTACGGGCAACCCTTTTTTTCCTTCTACGTTGGTCACTCTTTGGATCCATTTCAGTTCAGCTGTAGGTAATCAACGTCAACGTTTACAGGGGTCTTTATTTTTTCGCGTAAGTAGGTGAGAACTCGCCGAGACCGGGATATACCAGAAGGCTCGTTGCCAATTGCGACTGACTGACCCTGGTGCAGCAATTGCAACAATTGAGGGGATAAAAATGGGAGCACAAACATCTGCGATACAGATGAAAACGCGCACACGAGTAAAGTTGTCTTTTTCAAAATTGCTTCGAGAAAGTGTCGCAGGAATAAAACTAAATTGCGGCAATATCAGTGTGCGTTGAGAGTGATGATTGCACTCGTCTGAAGACGACAAGGATTTATATTCGTGAGAGGTTTGGTTGGAATGGGTGTGTGTCGCATGGCAGTGTAAAGTTATGACAACGCGGTACTGTGTGTGTGTGTGCAATACCTTCATATTAAAACTAAAAACTACTAAACCATTTGTTTTTATCTTACCAGGTAAGGCCCGCTGAGCTACATAGCTCTTTTTCAGAAGTGACCTGGCCACAAATTGTAGCTCAACGAAATAACCAAGTGGCTTGTGTGGAAATGTCTCGCAGTAGCCAAATACTCACGTTGCTAAATGGTTCTAAATGTGGAGGGAAAAATTGGAGGCACCGGAGAAAAAATCCTTGCAAACACAGAGATACAGACACGCAAACTCCAAATATACAGCAGCAGGCGTCAGGGTCGGGATCGAACCCACGACCTCCTGCATCCTAGGCGAGGTAGTTAACATCTCCTAGCCACCGTGATGATGATGAGAGAGAGACACGCAAACTCCAAATATACAGCAGCAGGCGTCAAGGTCGGGATCGAACACACGACCTCCTGCATCCCAGGCGAGGTAGTTAACATCTCCTAGCCACCGTGATGATGATGAGAGAGAGACACGCAAACTCCAAATATACAGCAGGCGTCAGGATCGGGATCGAACCCACGAACTCCTGCGTCCCAGGCGAGGTAGTTAACATCTCCTAGCCACCGTGATGATGATGAGAGAGAGACACGCAAACTCCAAATATACAGCAGGCGTCAGGATCGGGATCGAACCCACGAACTCCTGCGTCCCAGGCGAGGTAGTTAACATCTCCTAGCCACCGTGATGATGATGAGAGAGAGACACGCAAACTCCAAATATACAGCAGGCGTCAGGATCGGGATCGAACCCACGAACTCCTGCATCCCAGGCGAGGTAGTTAACATCTCCTAGCCACCGTGATGATGATGAGAGAGAGACACGCAAACTCCAAATATACAGCAGGCGTCAAGGTCGGGATCGAACCCACGACCTCCTGCATCCGAGGCGAGGTGGTTAACATCTCTTAATTTGGAAACAAACACACAGCAGTGTCACCCCCTCCTGGCAGACTATACAAGTGTCTGAAACAAAGTGCCATCGCGATAGCCGTTTGCTGTCACGGCACAAATACGAAATTAACTAAATCATTGTGGGGCAAATACAGGCAACGGGCGGGGGGTTGGCTACCCGAGCAGTGGCCGTTTCCTGTGTGGGCGGTGCCAGTGGCCGGGTGGGCGTGGCCACGTGACAATCGGGCGTGGCTGATGGAGGCCATTGTTGTCCTTTGCCCGTACCTCCGGTTAGCATGGTTGGCTACATATGGTGCAAAAGAAATTCAACATACTATACACTCCACGACTATACACTATATTACTATAGACTACACTACACTAAATTGAAAAGCCATTTCCTTAGAACTGCTTTTTGTGTTTAGTTTGTTGTCCTTCCCCCGCACCTCTGATTATCACGGTTGGCTATGTACGGTGCAAAAGAAGTTCAACACATCGACAGTCAACGGACTTATGAACACAATTAGTTCCTGATAGCCGTTTGTAAATCGGAACACAAAAATGCACTGTATTTAAATGACCATACGGTTGGTGTGAGAAGCATTGTTAAACTCATAAATTAAAATAAATATACATTTGCATAGTTTGTAAGCGGAGGTGTTCGTAAGATGGGTGTTCGTAAGTGCATATGTTCGTAAGTCAGGTGTTCGTAAGTCGATGGCTGCTTGCACGTATACACACACACATAGTGTGGCAGCTTCAGCGTGCGCCGGTTGAGCCCCCCAGAAATTTCGGCAGCTTCACTGCCCCCCCCCCTCTCCCCCTTCTCGGTTCCCCCTACCTCCCCCACCGCCAGATGTCATGGCGGCCTCAATACCGCAGCTCCAAGTTCCGGCACGTGTTCGGCCGCCCGGCCAAGCACTGCTACGACAGCGTGCCCATCACGCGCAGCGTGCACGACAACCACTTCTGCGCCGTCAACCCCCGCTTCCTCGCCGTGGTGACCGAGTGCGCCGGCGGTGGCGCCTTCCTGGTGCTGCCGCTCCAGCTGGTGGGTCTCTCGCGCCCCGCGTCTACGTCGCTCGCCATCGCCGGCACCGGCGCTGCTCTGCCGTCACCGTCATCGTCGTCACGATCACCGTCATTGCTCTACCATCATTGTTGTCGTCATCATCGTCACGATCACCGTCATTGCTCTGCCGCCACCGTCGTCATCGTCATGATCACCGTCATTGTTCTACCATCATTGTTGGCATCATCATCGTCACGGTCACTGTCATTGCTTTATTCTCATCGTCATCATCATTGCCATCATCACCACCATGACCCATCACAATCATCGACACTGCCACCATCACCGTCACATCACCACCTCCGCTATAGCTGTCATCAGTATCAGAATATATGTATTTATACTGGAGGAATCCGATGAGCTATAAAGTTCTTCATCACAGATGTCCAGTAGGGACAGGTCAGAACAAACAATACAAAAACACGGGTAGGAGTACAAAGTAAAGGAAATGTAATTGCAATCATTCTAGGCGCCATTGTGGCCTGTTACACAGGAGGCCATGGGTTCGATCCCGACCCTGACAATGCCTGTATATTTAGAGTTTGCGCGTCTCTCTCGCTGTCCTCGCGTGGATTTTTCTCCCGAGTCCTCCGGCTTTTACCTCCACATTTAGAATCAACGTCGCGCATTTAGAGTAATTGGCTGCTATACATTTCCACGTGACAAGCCACTTCGTTGAGCTATCATTTGTGGCCAGGTCGCTTCCGCAAAAGAGCGACATAGCCCCGTGGGCTTTACCTGTTGAAATAAAACAAATTAAATAGTTTAATCGTTTAGTTTAGCACATCTGGCTGAACCAGCTCGATGTAAAATGACAGCTACTGCTCTTCACCAACGTCAGCCGCACGAAGGAGACGACTGCAATAGCACAATAAGTTGGGTACAATACTTAATTACATCACTGGAGCGCACACGGAAGTGACTTGGAAGTACGTTCCATCGCACCCCGCTCATCAACCAAGCCACATAGCCTCTTGGACATGTGGGCCCACGAGTGGTAAAATAAAAAAAATTGTCAACAAAAATATCTTCCCAAAAAATCATCCCCTTCCTCCCCACATAACCCTACGTGGATGGGGCGGTAGACTCTTGACCCCCCGCCCCGATTGACTGTTCCCCCTCTGAATGGATCGATCACGTTGGGGCTGCGCACCTCCTGGATGTCTTTGGCCCGGTTGATTTTTTTTTGTCATTTTGCACATCGTATTCAACAAAAACCTCGAAAAAAAGAATCGTTTAGTCTTTTTAAACAGCTGAGTTCATTCTCACAAGCGGTTTGTTGTCGTTGTTGTTGTCCTCGTCGTGTGTTGCGTGTGTGTGGCGTGCCCAGACGGGCAAGGTGGACCCGCACTACCCGCGCGTGTGCGGGCACCAGGCCATCGTGCTGGACATCAAGTGGAGCCCCTTCAACGACTTCATCATCGCCTCGGCCTCTGACGACGCCACGGTGAGCGGCGTGCAAAAAATCCTCGTCGCTGATGACAAAAATACAAACACAGACAAAAACAAAAGCAACACAAGCAACACATGACCAGCTCGGACGCGTTCGTCGATTGCAGAGCTGCGCGTCGCCTTGAAAGAAAAAAACGCAAAAAATGATATCATAGGCGACGTTTCTGTCGTGTTGGGCAATGGCCCTTCTCGGTAGCGATAATAATGTCAACTTGTAACGGTGCATGGTGTTCACTCCTCGCTCACGGTTGTGGGCTACATTCACTGACGACCTCACACGCGGTGTTGTTATCGATCGAACCTGTAGCTCGGCATTCTTCTTCATTGCAAGGCCACCGTGGGCCAATGGCGGCCCCTGGTGGCCTTTAGCGTGGCCCCTGACGTGCCCTCCCCCCCCCCCCCCCCCGTCAATGCACAAAGAGTGAAAAACACCCCCCATCGTCATCGTGCTGCTGTCACAAACCAAACAATGGTTTAAAATAATATGTGGCGGCCCCTCACGCCGCTGCAGTTTGTGATTGTTCACTGCACTTATGTACCACTGCCAGCACAAGTAGCGGCAGCAGCGGCAGCGGCATCGCCAACAACATTTGTGTAAATCTTCTTCTCGACGCTCACCTCGTTCGCGACGCGGACGCATACTCACGCAGGCTCACTGCCGCCAGCGGTCGCTGATTGAAATCTCCACACAAGGAGCACGACGGCCGGACGCTTGAGAACGGTTGGAGCGTCCGGCGAGCGCGCTCCCTCGCAAACCGGTGATTCACAGTCGACTTTTTCAGTTTCATTGATTAGGTATAACCCTGTGAGCCATTCGGCTCTTGACTCGGGTGCAACCGCAGCAAAACAAAAACATGAAGAAGAAACATCTTAAAGTGACTACACGTCAGGCCGCGTGAACGATCGATCCGGCGGCATTTTTGTTTGCTATCGTCAAACCCTCGCCCCACCATCACCACCGCCGCCACTACCACCGCCGCTGCTTAACCTAAAAATCCGCTAAGCAACCTACGCATGAACTATTATTCACGTGTGTGTTGCCACGGTGTGACGCTCACACGCACGTGACCGTGGTGTGACGCTCACACGCACGTGACCGCGTTGTGACGCTCACACGCACGTGACCACGGTGTGACACTCACGCGTGTGACCACGGTGTGACACTCAGGTGTATGACGGCTCTGTAACATTCAAGGGCGCTGCCTTGCCTTGCCCTGTCCCTGCACAAACACCCTTGGCGGTGTGCACACACATGCACTGTACACGTTGTGTATTTTATGATGTTTGTGCGCGGCAACATTACGCGTCAACGCTGCGCCACCTGACACCCTGGGATAAACGAGACGGTTCCATCTCGAGGGATTCGTCGAGGTGAAATATTTTAACAACTGAAATGAATGATGCTAGTATCACTCCCGACCGCCCGTGCGAAAAGCTACCGAGCTAGATCTGTTTGCTAACAACTCCAGCTCACGTAAATCCATCTTCGGTCGTGATGGAAAACCCCGGGGGATGTCTGTCTATCTGCGATGGGGGCAACAACAACAAAAAAACGGGCGAGAAAATCAATCAGCACCCTTCATGTATCTATCCCTCCACACAAAAGTCTTCTTTACACATGCACGCACGTTGAACTTCTTTCGCGCCGTACGCAGCCAACCGTGTTCATTGGAAGCCAGGGGGAAGTTCTCTACTTTAGTCCACCGGTGTGTAAATGTTATGGATTCACTCTTCAACACACCGGTGGGCTGAAGTAGTGAACTATTTGTCTTTTTGTCAACGTGACACTTTTTTTTACTGATGGGCCGTGTCGGGTGGTGGAAGGTTGTGAGACATTTATAAATAACGCGATCTAACCCAAAAAACGTTATTGTGAATTGAACTTGACTACAAACCGCCGAGATCAATTCCATCCTGGCAGCAGAAAACACCTCGGTGCAATCGAGCCACCTCGACGTCAGATACCCTGGGCAAATCGACTCACCCTCCCGCCCTGCACCCCCCGCCGCCGCTCATCGCCACCAATCACCGCCACCACTCACCGCCACCACTCACCCCCGCCGCTCACCGCCGTGCGTGTGCGGCGTGCGTGGTGTGTGTGACGTGTGTGACATATGTGACGTGTGTGCAGGTGCGTGTGTGACGAGTGTGACGTGTGTGACATGTGTGACGTGTGTGACGTGTGTGGTGTGTGGTGTGTGACGTGTGTGACGTGTGTGGTGTGTGTGTGTGGTGTGTGACGTGTGGTGTGTGTGACGTGTGTGGTGTGTGTGTGTGGTGTGTGACGTGTGGTGTGTGTGACGTGTGTGGTGTGTGTGTGTGGTGTGTGACGTGTGTGGTGTGTGACGTGTGTGACGTGTGTGACGTGTGTGCAGGTGCGTGTGTGACATGTGTGACGTGTGTGACATGTGTGACATGTGTGACGTGTGTGGTGTGTGTGCAGGTGCGTGTGTGACATGTGTGACGTGTGTGACATGTGTGACGTGTGTGGTGTGTGTGCAGGTGCGTGTGTGACATGTGTGACGTGTGTGACATGTGTGACGTGTGTGGTGTGTGTGATGTGTGTGCAGGTGCGTGTGTGACGTGTGTGGTGTGTGTGCAGGTGCGTGTGTGACATGTGTGACATGTGTGACGTGTGTGGTGTGTGTGCAGGTGCGTGTGTGACATGTGTGACGTGTGTGACATGTGTGACGTGTGTGGTGTGTGTGATGTGTGTGCAGGTGCGTGTGTGACGTGTGTGGTGTGTGTGTGACGTGTGTGACATGTGTGACATGTGTGACGTGTGTGATGTGTGTGCAGGTGCGTGTGTGACATGTGTGACATGTGTGACGTGTGTGATGTGTGTGCAGGTGCGTGTGTGACATGTGTGACATGTGTGACATGTGTGACGTGTGTGATGTGTGTGCAGGTGCGTGTGTGACATGTGTGACGTGTGTGACATGTGTGATGTGTGTGACATGTGTGACGTGTCTGGTGTGTGTGCAGGTGCGTGTGTGGTGTGTGTGACATGTGTGACATGTGTGACGTGTGTGACATGTGTGATGTATGTGCAGGTGCGTGTGTGACGTGTGTGGTGTGTGTGATGTGTGTGCAGGTGCGTGTGTGACGTGTGTGGTGTGTGTGACGTGTGTGACGTGTGACGTGTGTGGTGTGTGTGATGTGTGTGCAGGTGCGTGTGTGACGTGTGTGGAGTGTGTGTGACGTGTGTGACATGTGTGACATGTGTGACGTGTGTGATGTGTGTGCAGGTGCGTGTGTGACATGTGTGACATGTGTGACGTGTGTGGTGTGTGACGTGTGTGACGTGTGGTGTGTGTGACGTGTGTGACATGTGTGACATGTGTGACATGTGTGACGTGTGTGACATGTGTGACGTGTGTGACATGTGTGATGTATGTGCAGGTGCGTGTGTGGGAGATCCCCGAGGGCGGCCTGCACCAGCAGCTCACCGAGCCGCTGGCCACGCTGCGTGGCCACTCGCGCCGCGTCAGCCTCATCGAGTGGCACCCCGTCGCCTCGGGCCTCCTCTTCAGCACCGGCTATGACTGCAAGGTAACGGCACACTCACCGCCATCGCCATCACCACCACCATCACCATCACAACCGCCATCGCCATCACCACTGCCATCACCACCACCATCACCACCGCCATCACCATCAGAACCGCCATTGTCAATGTCACTGCAACCGCTGCAATCACCACCGCTATCACCATCACAACCGCCATCACAACCACCATCGCCATCACCACTGCTATCACCACCACCATCACCATTGCAATCACTATCACAACCACCATTGCCATCACCACTGCCATCACCACCACCATCGCCTCCGCCATCACTACCTCCCTCCAGGGACGTGCGGTCGGGGGAGGCAGGGGAGGCAGAGCCTCACCTGTAATACTCCAATGAAAATAGCTGTTACGAAAAGTAAAAAAAATGACAATCAAATAAAATAAACATTAAGATTTTTCCACTGATCTGTGTTATAAATGTCATTTCTGTACGATTCCAATCATTTTTATAGTCAAAATCGCCAAATTTGCGGATCTCCGCTGCAAATACAGGAAGATACGAGAGGTGAGGCAGCGACGAGCTCAGCCTTTCCTCTGATTGCGCAACTTCTCAGTACCGTGTTTTCCCGCATATAACCCGCAGACGCATATACCCCGAAAAAATAGCGTTTTGTGTAAAACTAAATTCAGATAGCCCGCACCTCCATATACCCCACATGCATTAATATCTTTAACGTCGTTACCACAGCTTAATTCCATCATATTAATACGAAGTTTATATTTGTAATACATTCCACTATCAATTGTTAACATTACAATCATAACGTGCACAAATAAAACAAACTAACCGGAAACGAGTGAACTTAAAACAGTAAATAAGTAACAAAAGTAAATATCCAATAAGTAACACATAACTGGTAGATAAGTAAGTAAGCGTACTGTTAGGCTTACCAGCATTCGACCTCATAATATTACAGCTACTGGACCGGTAGTTACCCCTGTACAGTTTTAGCACTGGTAGATTGCGCTCTGCACAGACAATAGCGGCACTACAGTAATGCCATTGCCTTCTGGCAACAAAGCCATTGGAAGTTTGAAACAAAGCTCATGGTCGCGACTGTAGAGTGCTCAGCCAATAGCAGCGGCCTAAGGGACTCAGCAATTATGGTTCCGCGTCTGGTAGACGCCTGTGAAGGCTCTTCCCATTGTACAATCCATGGCCTCAGCTGCAACTTTCGCACCCCCCTACAGCCACTGAAAGTACTACGGTAACAAAGTGCGCCCACTTCAAACATTGTCGTTTCATTGTACAAACAATTCGAATCCTTTAAAACGTGATAACACGTGAAATTTTAGTGTGAGTGGTTTATTCAGCAGTGCTGTAGTCAAAGGTAACTGTTGCATAGTGGATAGTCCTACCGTGAAATTTTTTTACGAGTTATGACATGTCACACGTGACAAATATTTTTTGGGATAACCCGCACCTCCATATACCCCGCAGGGTCTTGTTTTGTTTGTAAAAAGTGGTATACCCCGCGGGTTATATGAGGGAAAATACGGTAACTGGATGGAGCGCGGGCAATAAGCGCGTGCCAGTTACTATCTCAGTATGTCACCAATGTGATGTTTGTCGACCCCTTCATTTCATGTCCTCACCTTACATACTCCAGGTAACTTATTTCACGCATGTGTATAAAGATATTTAGGCTCTCTGGTTTCGTCATGAAACTGCAATGAAAAAGCACCAGGGGAGGCAGCTATCACATCTGCCTCACTGAGGGGGACGTGTCTAACACGCCCCCCTCAGTGAAGACACGCCCCCTCAGTGAGGACACGCCCCCTCAGTGAGGACACGCCCCCTCAGTGAGGACACGCCCCCTCAGTGAGGACACGCCCCCGTCCGTAATGCCACGCCCCCTCAGTGAGGCCACGCCCCCTCAGTGAGGCCACGCCCCCCTCAGTGAGGACACGCCCCCTCAGTGAGGCCACGCCCCCTCAGTGAGTGAATCTGGCTCTGACACTAGCCAGTGCCTCCCCAGCCAATGACGTCACCGCACGTCACTGCCTCCATTGCCATCACAACCGCCACCATCGTGTCTACAGCCATCGCCATCACCATCACAACCGCCATGGTCATCACCATCACCACCGCCATCGTCATCCCCACTGCCATTGCCAACACCACCGCCATCGCTGTGGGGCAACGGAGGCAGCAAGCCCACTCTTTTACAAAACTCAGAGCGTTACCCGTTCAGCCCGGCTCGCGTCGACGAATGCTGACCACACTTCACGAAAACCGCATCGTTTCTCACCCACCGGATCACCAATTTAGCGGAGGATAGTTTTTGCACACGGTGGGTGGGGGGCACCGGTTCGTAAGAAACGGCACCTTGACAGGGGCGAGGGCCCGGGCAGTGGTGACGGTGGTGACGGTGGTGACGGTGGCGATGTTGGTGATGGTGTTGACAGTGGCAACGGTTGTGAGGGTGGTGAAGGTGGCGATGGTGGCGATGGTGGTGATGGTGGTGATGGTGTTGACGGTGGCGACGGTGGTGATGGCGGGTGTTGCGTCGTCGTGGGTGGCTGCAGGTGCTGCTGTGGGACGTGGAGAAGCGCATCGCGGTGCGCTCCTTCGACTGCCACGGCGACATCGTCCTCTCCATGTCGTTCGACTGCACCGGCAACGTCATGGCCACCGCCTGCAAGGACAAGAACATGCGCCTCATCGACGCCCGCACGGGCGCCGTGCTCAAGGTGCGTGGCCGCTACTGCCCCCCGCGCCGCCTCCCCCGCCCGCCCACCTCTTTCGACGCTGGCCTCCAGACCCACGCAAAATGAGACGACGCGTGACGGCCCGTCTAGGCGGTCTGTCGCGAGCCGCGTTTTTGCCTGGAGGGTGGCGCCCGGGGTGCGATCGCAGGAGGTAATCTCGGTTCCCACCTCTCTCGGACCTCGTCCATCGCACGTGTGACAGATGACCCTGCTGTTCGCCTGGCACTCGATGGGCCAGCCCGCCACAATATTTGCGTGAACTGATCCGTCTCAGTGCCGTGGCGACGGTCCTCCAGACCGTCTAGGATGGGTCAGCCCGCCGCAATATTTGCGTGAACTGATCCGTCTCAGCGCCGTGGCAACGGTCCTCCAGACCGTCCAGGATGGGGCCGCCCGCCGCTCCGCATCTCGGCCCGCAGCAGCGCTGGTTCTCGGCCCTCGTGTGGTGCTCGGACCACCCAGCCAGCGCCCCCCCACCCCACTGCTGGTGACGAGACGCCTGATTCGCTTCTCTCTTCAAGTAGCACTCATACTAAGTGATTTTTTTATCCAGCTATTCGTTTTTTTAGGAGGGGGAGAGCATTTATTTAAATCAGGGAAGTTTAGCTAGCTTCATATTTAAATTAAATATAAGTAAAATATTTGTGAATGCTCGAAACAAAGGGGATAATAAACGTCATCATCATTGTCCGGATCAACCTGTGAATTTGCATCACAGCCACCACGGAACCACCGGTGGTGCGGGTACCACACTCTGAGAACCAGTGGCATAGAGAGCGAGGGAACGTGGTGACGCGAAGCGGAACGCGAGACAACAGGCGGCCGTTGGCGTCGTTAATGGATGGTGTAACGTAACGTCACGTGCAGCTCGCATAACGTAATGCACGTCCAGCTAGTGTAACGTAACGCACGTGTGTGTGTGTGTGCGTGCGTGCGGTGTCGGTGTGAGCGCAGCACCGGGACGGCACTCCGCACCGAGCACAGAAGGTGGTGGTGCTGGGGGACACCAAGATGCTGGCGTCGACGGGCATCTCCTGGAGCAACCAGCGACAGATCGCCGTGTGGCACCAGGTGAGGACACCCTCCCCCTCCACCCGCTGACTCGCCGCCGCCATGTTCTATCCACCGCCGGATGAAAGCCTTCCATCGCCTCGAGCCAGCGTCTATCCACCGCCGGATGAAGTGCCCCCCTCCGTGTTATCACAGCGCTAAAATCCTTTCAGACGAGGCGGTTTCCTTGCTCCGTCTCTCCGCGATCGACACGTTTGGCCACCACTCCGTTGTGCGTCTCGACCACCGGCGATCACCGTCACTTCTGTCCGTGACGCGTCCGGCCACTCGTTCGCTCGCTCGACATCCTTCACAGTCAAGGCAGTGCCTCTAACTTGCGTGCGTTCTCTCATCCGCGTGTTGCTGCTCCGCTCTCTCACATCTCAAAGTCTGTTTCTTTGAAATCATAATGAGTTGAGACCAAAATCAGCAGATCTAAGTGTTCGCAGTGGAATATAAAACCTAAACTAAAAGCTAAAACTTTTTTTATTATACCTGGTAAGGGCCATTGAGCTATGTAGCTCTTTATCAGAAGTGGCCTGGCCACAAATGATAGCTGAACGAAGTGGCTTATAATGTGGAAATCTATATCAGCCAAATACTGTAAAAACGTGATGTTGATTCTAAATGTGGAGGTCCCGGAGAAAAATCCACGTGACTCACAGGAGCAGCAGCTGTGCAATCTGGTGGCAGGGTAGGAACGCGTCGGGCAATAGGGATGCGGTGGTGCTAGTAGTGGTGTTGGTGGTTGTGGTGGCAGCGGTGTTGGCAGCGATGGTGATGGTGGTGGTAGTGGTGGCGGTATTGGTGGTGGTTGTGGCTGTGGTGTTGACGGTGGTGGTGGCGGCAGTGGTGGCGGCAGTGGTGGTGGCAGTGTTGGTGGTTGTGGCTGTGGTGTTGACGGTGGTGTTGATGGCGGTGGTGGCGGCAGTGGTGGCGGCAGTGGTGGAAGTGGTGGTGGTGTTGACGGCGGTGGTGACGGCGGTGGTGGCGGTGGCAGTGTTGGTGTTGGCGGTGGTGATAATGGTAGTGGTGCCAGTGGTGGCGGTGGTGGTGTTGGTATTGGCGGTGGTGATAATGGTAGTGGTGGCGGTGGTGGCGGTGGTAGTGGCGGTGGTGGTTGTGGTGTTGACGGCGGTGGCTGTGGTGGCGATGGCATCGACCGCCTTGTGGGCCCACCGCGACGTCTCGACATTGACCATGACGAGGGCGACAACGTCATCGCCGCCCGGCGTTGCTGACCGAGCGCATTGGGGCGGTCGCCGTCTCGCCGCAGGAGGACCTCTCCAAGCCGCTGGTGGTGCTCGACCTCGACGGGATCTCCGGCCTCCTCTTCCTCTTCTTCGACTCCGACACGCGCATGCTCTTCGTCGTGGGCAAGGTATGGCTGCTTCCCACCGCTGGCTCACCGTGAACGGGCGGGTGGGGGGGGCCGTCGGGCGGGCACCACGTAGCGGGTGCCCCACGTGGGCAGTCGGGTTAGCGAGCGCCTATTGATGCTGCGTGCTGTGTGGCCAGCAGAGGCCGGTGCGGCAAAGTCCATTGTTGTTCCGCTTTATGCTACCACCGTCTATTGCTTCCGGCTTCGTGTTTGTGAATTGGACACTGAGGTCTTTTGGGTGGTGGCCAAAGTCGCCGCTCGCTGCCGGAGAGTTTAAAAATTTCGATCTGTATATCAACATGAACATCATCAACACCATCACCATCACCAGCTGCTGCTGCTGTGGTTCGTGAAGTGGATGCAGTTTAGGGGTTGCCGCATCCGCACAAACGATGGCGGCAGATGCGGGTACTAGACCATGACGATGATGATGACGACGACGATGATGACGACGATGATGCACAAAATTGGACAATCCATTGTTGGAGTGACTCAGCCTGCGCCTCACCACTTCGATCTGCGATGACCGTCCCCGTGACTGGGCTGTGTTCGCAGGGCGACACGACGATCCGCTACTACGAGATCAGCACGGAGACGCCCTTCCTGCACTTCCTCGGGGAATATCACTCCCATCAGCCGCAAAAAGGAATGGGTGAGCTACCCCCCCCCCAGCCCCCCTCACCCCCCACCCCCCCACTACCTTGCCTGGTATACAGGAGATCATGGGTTCGATCCCAACGCTGATGCCTGTATATTTGGAGTATGCGTGTCTCTCTCTTTCCCCGTGGTCGCGTGGGTTTTCCTCCGGGTCCTCCGGTTTTTCCCTCCACATTTACAATCAACATCACGCCTTTAGAGTATTTGGCTGCAATACATTTCCACGTGATGATGATAAGCCACTTCGTTGAGCTGTCATTTGTGGTCAAGTCGCTTCTGATAAAGAGTTGCATAGCTCAGTAGGCCTTACCTGGTAAAATAAAAAAGTGGTTGATAGTGAAAGAGCCCTTCGGAAAAGACGCTGTCATTCACACCACGTCATTGTTATCATAGTCTTAACTATCATCATGATTGTCATTATCACATCATTGTAACATTATATTTATCGTCGTTATAATGAATGTCATCAGAACCATCAGCAGGAGCATCGTCATCATTGGCATTGTCATCAGTATCGTTCAGGGGCACATTGTAAATAATCATCAATCATTATCGTCGTCATCATCATCATCAATCACCACTTGCGGTGATACGTTCAGTAGGCAACTGCCAACGTCTACTCTTCCAACTTCATTCCCATGATGGGAATTGTACGGCGAGGGTCTGGGTAACGGGTTTCCCCGCGCCGCCCTCCCGACCCCCCCCCCCCCCGCTCTGCTGCCCCCCTTCCGCTTCGTGCTGCCTGACTGGGTCAAGGCACGCCCAGAGGCACACGGCAGCGGTAAATGTCGATGGCAGTTCGGTGCCAATGAGCCCCGGTACGGACAAAGCCAGTCCACGGCCGCATCCTCTTGCCTCAACGCCTGTCGCACCGTGCGTAGCCGACCGGGCTAATGGGAGGTGCGGCGTCGTCTTGGTTACTTGCAACGGGCGAGCGAGGACAAAATCGCCACGATGCGGTTCTTTCGAACTGGTGGTTTCAATTCTAGATTTGAAGCTTTCGTGACTGAAAGAATTCATATTCTTAGGTTTTTCGGTAAAGTCACGTAGTTAAAAATTTTTAATTAATAAAAGTAAAATAAAAATAAAATAAAAATCACGACGTTTTGGAGGCAACACAAGCTTCCGTCTTCAAGTGGAACCGTCACAGCACGATAGCTGTATCAAGTGAGAGAGATTCCAAGAAAACAGTCCTTGAATATATACTGGTTGAGGGTGGGAGGAGCCAAGGTAGGCCCTGGATATTATTTTTGTGAGGTTCGGTGCGGCTGAAGCACGCTGTTAGGAATGAGTCTTTGTTGTGTAAACTAGGTGCGGATGATGTAAAGGTGCGTGTAAAAGGGACTGAGCCTTTTTGTTATGTAGAGATGATGCGGCTGAAATCGCTGCCAGGAAATGAGTCTTTGTTGTGTAGAATGGTTGACTGAGCCTATTGTTATGTAGAGGTGATGCGGCTGAAATCGCTGCCAGGAAATGAGTCTTTGTTGTGTAGAATGATTGACTGAGCCTATTATTATGTAGAGGTGGTGCGGCTGAAATCGCTGCCAGGAAATGAGTCTTTGTTGTGTAGAATGGTTGACTGAGCCTATTGTTATGTAGAGGTGGTGCGGCTGAAATCGCTGCCAGGAAATGAGTCTTTGTTGTGTAGAATGGTTGACTGAGGCTATTGTTATGTAGAGGTGATGCGGCTGAAATCGCTGCCAGGAAATGAGTCTTTGTTGTGTAGAATGGTTGACTGAGCCTATTATTATGTAGAGGTGGTGCGGCTGAAATCGCTGCCAGGAATGCTCCAAATATGTGTAGTTAAATTTTTTTGCATGGTTAATAACATCTTTCCAATGATTACTAAGTTTGTAACCATCATCACGGTTGAAATTATGTCTGTGTTTGTATATTTGGATGGCCTCATGTAGAATGATAGTTACAAACTTAGTAATCATTGGAAAGATGTTATTAACCATGCAAAAAATATTTAACTACACATATTTGGAGCATTCCTGGCAGCGATTTCAGCCGCACCACCTCTACATAATAATAGGCTCAGTCAACCATTCTACACAACAAAGACTCATTTCCTGGCAGCGATTTCAGCCGCATCACCTCTACATAACAATAGGCTCAGTCAACCATTCTACACAACAAAGACTCATTTCCTGGCAGCGATTTCAGCCGCACCACCTCTACATAACAATAGGCTCAGTCAACCATTCTACACAACAAAGACTCATTTCCTGGCAGCGATTTCAGCCGCACCACCTCTACATAATAATAGGCTCAGTCAATCATTCTACACAACAAAGACTCATTTCCTGGCAGCGATTTCAGCCGCATCACCTCTACATAACAATAGGCTCAGTCAACCATTCTACACAACAAAGACTCATTTCCTGGCAGCGATTTCAGCCGCATCATCTCTACATAACAAAAAGGCTCAGTCCCTTTTACACGCACCTTTACATCATCCGCACCTAGTTTACACAACAAAGGCTCATTCCTAACAGCGTGCTTCAGCCGCACCGAACCTCACAAAAATAATATTCAGGGCCTACCTTGACTCCTCCCACCCTCAACCAGTATATATACAAGGACTGTTTTCTTGGAATCTCTCTCACTTGATACAGCTATTGTGCTGTGACGGTTCCACCTGAAGACGGAAGCTTGTGTTGCCTCTGAAACGTCGTGATTTTTATTTTATTTTACTTTTATTAATTTGAATTTTTTACCTACGTGACTTTACCGAAAAACCTAAGAACATGGTGGTTTCAACCAATGATGCGCGAGCCCCAGGGGACCGTGTTTTGCACGTGTGGTGCGCACCGTTGCGCACTGTAACGTTTACTTGAATCCCGGCCTGCCTTCCTGCCTGCCTTCCTGCCTGCCTACTTGCCTGCCTGCCTTCCTGCCTGCCTGCCTACTTGCCTGCTTGCCTTCCTGCCTACTTGCCTTCCTGCCTTCCTGCCTACTTGCCTGCTTGCCTGCTTGCCTTCCTGCCTTCCTGGCTTCCTGCCTTCCTGCCTTCCTGCCTTCCTGCCTACTTGCCTGCTTGCCTGCTTGCCTTCTTGCCTTCCTGCCTTCCTGCCTTCCTGCCTTCCTGCCTGCCTGCCTACTTGCCTGCTTGCCTGCTTGCCTTCCTGCCTTCCTGCCTTCCTGCCTTCTTGCCTACTTGCCTGTTTGCCTGCTTGCCTTCCTGCCTTCCTGCCTGCCTTCCTGCCTGCCTACTTGCCTGCTTGCCTGCTTACCTTCCTGCCTTCCTGCCTTCCTGCCTACTTGCCTGCTTGCCTGCTTGCCTGCTTGCCTTCCTGCCTTCCTGCCTTCCTGCCTTCCTGCCTTCCTGCCTGCCTGCCTACTTGCCTGCTTGCCTTCCTGCCTTCCTGCCTTCCTGCCTACTTGCCTGTTTGCCTGCTTGCCTGCTTGCCTTCCTGCCTTCCTGCCTGCCTTCCTGCCTGCCTACTTGCCTGCTTGCCTTCCTGCCTACTTGCCTGCCTGCCTTCCTGCCTGCCTGCCTACTTGCCTGCTTGCCTTCCTGCCTACTTGCCTTCCTGCCTTCCTGCCTACTTGCCTGCTTGCCTGCTTGCCTTCCTGCCTTCCTGCCTTCCTGCCTTCCTGCCTTCCTGCCTTCCTGCCTTCCTGCCTACTTGCCTGCTTGCCTGATTGCCTTCCTGCCTTCCTGCCTGCCTGCCTACTTGCCTACTTGCCTTCCTGCCTGCCTACTTGCCTTCCTGCCTGCCTGTCTACTTGCCTGCTTGCCTTCCTGCCTTCCTGCCTGCCTGCCTGCGCGGCAGTGTTCTGCCGTGATGGGGATGCCTTGTGGCTCGCAGATCAGGGCTGATGGCGAGCGTCCGGTTTGCGATCCAGGCATGATGCCCAAACGAGGCGTGGACACGACGGCATGCGAGGTCTTCCGCTTCTACAAGCTCATCGTCCCCAAAGGCACCATTGAGCCCATCTCCATGATTGTGCCACGGCGGGTGAGTGGGCGACTGAGCGGGTAGGTGGGTGGGTGAGTGGGTGGTTGAGTGAGTGGATGGGTGACACTGAGTGGGTGGGCGACTGAGTGGACGACTTAATGGTTGACTGGGTGGGCGAGTGAGTGGTTGAATGGGGCACCGCAGTGGCGAGATGTTAACTACCATGCCTAGTATACAGGAGATCGTGGATTCGATCACGACCCTGATGATGCCTGCTGTATATTTTGAGTTTGCATGTCTCTCTCTCTCCCCGTGGTCGCGTAGATTCTTCTCCGGCTCCTCTGGTTTTTCCCTCCACATTTAGAATCAACATCACGTGTTTACAGTATTTGGCTGCTATGCATTTCCACGTGATAAGCAACTTCGTTGAGCTATGATTTGTGGCCAGATCGCTTCTAAAAAAGAGCTATATAGCTCAGTGGGCCTTATCCGGTAAAATAAAAAGTAGTTGTAAAAGGGTAAGCAAGCGGGTGAGTGGATGCATGAGTTATTGAACCATTGAGTGGGTGAATGAGCGAGTGAATGAGTGGATTACTGAGTTAATTAATGAGTGAGTGAATGAGCAAGCTAGCAAGGGTCCACCACGACCAGTAACTGCTTGTACCACGAAAATAACTGGGCAACGAACCCCTTACCCACCGTGCGCCCCAGCCAAACGTTCACTGCACAGCTGGTGTCCTTTGTCCCTCCCGCAGTCTGAGGCCTACCAAGAGGACATTTACCCCTTGACTGCTGGGCCTCAGCCAGCTCTGAGTGCCGACGAGTGGCTGAGTGGCATCAACAAAGGTGCGTTCATTGGCTCAACGAGCCAGGGTCTGTTCCCCGATTACAGCTTCTGAGCGGTGGTGTTCATGCGGAGAGAGAGAGAGACCAGTCTGTGAGTCTATTGTCTAGGGACCCCGTCAGAGACCAGTCAGTCAGTCTATTGTCTAGGGACCCCATCAGAGACCAGTCAGTCAGTCTATTGTCTAGGGACCCCATCAGAGACCAGTCAGTCAGTCTATTGTCTAGAGTCCCCATCAGAGACCAGCCAGTCTATTGTCTAGAGACAATAGACTATCAGTCTATTGTCTAGAGGTCCCATCAGAGGCCAGTCAGTCTATTGTCTAGAGACCCCTTCAGAGACCAGTTAGTCTATTGTCTAGGGACCCCATCAGAGACCAGTCAGTCTATTGTCTAGAGCAACGGTTCTTCTCTTTACTGCAGCCTTGCACCCCTTTGATTCTCAATCATAAACAAAATATATAATGTTAATAAATACATAAGGGTTTGATAAAACAAAGTATTTGTACTTCCGTTTTTCGCTACCCCAGGGGGTGTGTGCACCCCAGGTTAAGAATAAGAACCACTGTTCATCACAAATCGGGTCTGTCTCACAGGCCCCAAGCTGGTGTCTCTCAAGGACGGGGCCCTGGAGGCTTCCACCTCAGTGGCGGTGACGCCGGGCAGGGCGGACTTGAGTTCCGCTACCGCCGCAACCGCCGCTACCGCTGCCGGCAAGCCGCGAGAGGTCGCGCCGGCCCAGCGCTCGTTTCCCCGGCACAGGGATCAGGTCGTGGTGAACGGGCATGAGGGCGCCAACGACTCCAATGATAAACTCGACGGCAAGGTGAGTCGTAAAAAAATATTAACAGGAAAGACGCGAGGTCAGCAACAGACAGCGATCTAAAAAGTTGCGATCGATTAGAGTGTAGCACGTGTCCTGAATTGAGCGAGGTTGTTGTACTTAACTAAACAATGTTTTTTATTTTACCAGGTAAGACCCACTGAGCTATGTAGCTCTTTATTTTAAAGCGACTCGGGCCACAAATGATATGTCAACGAAGTGGTTCATCACGTGGACATTTATAGCAGCCAAATACTGTAAATGCATGTTGATTTTAAATGTGTAGGGAAACACCGGAGAAAAATCCACGCAACTCACAGGGAGAAAGACACGCAAACTCCAAATATACAGGCATCAGGGTTGGGATCGAACCCACGACCTCCTGTATACCAAGCGAAGGAATTAACATCTCCGAGCTACCATCAGGGTCAGGTTCAGGTGCCACTCGCCACTGACGCCAGCCCAGGCTGGGGAATCGAACTCGGGGCTGACTGGGGATTTTAATCACGCGAATGGGCCAACCGCAGCAGTGCCAGCGCCGCAGCCTGTCGGCTATACGCACGTTTGCCAATCTATTATTCACCGCCCCGTCACAATGTACGCACGATAGTTTTACGACCGTGGGTGAAATTTATGCTCTTTACAATGAGGGGAGGGGGCGGGGGGGCGAGGGGTTGGGGGGCTGCCACCTGATGGAGCTGTCCGGGGCAGAGGTCGGCAACCGAAGTAACAAGAATAGCAATTGTTTTTGAATTCGGGAAATAAACTAAACTTCGATATTTCCAGAGTTGCAGGTCTGGGGTCCCGTTCACCGCTGAATCTCGGAACATGCGAGCGGCTCAGCTTTAACTTTATTTAGAGAGGTGTAGCAGCGCCGTTGTTTTTAAAGACACTGTACTCACCGCATACAACTGTAGCGAAACGACCGCCACACTCTACGTCAGCTGGGCGCCAAACTGTGCCACACGCCCTCCCGTGAGCTCTTTCACTTCCCGCTCCGATGACGTACGTGAAGAAGAACGAATGACCTACACGTACGTCACGAAGCGGTCCTCAAAGAGCCGCAGGTTGCCCACCCCTGAGTTGAGGTCACCAATCACACCTGCGGTGGGCGTAGGGAGCAATCGCACGCCTTTGTCACTCAGAAATCTCACCGTCAATCTCTTCCGCTCTTTATAAAATCCGCCGCTGGATGGAGGTCTCCCTCTCCACGCTGTGTATTACCCCACTCTGGTCGGCGCAGGTTGGGAGGTTGGGTGAGCGGGGTTCGCAGGGCCAGTTCAGTTATCCGCTTGCCACTGACGTTAGCTGTGGCGAAGAATCGAAATCACCGCCGGGCTCGGAGCGGACGCAGCCTGCCAACCGCTGCACCCACTGGCGGAGCAAGGGGGGGGGGGTGGGTTGGCACGTGCCCCCCCCAATGATCCGATCGAAATCCCTAATTTAGATCAGATCATCGGGGTTTATTTGTAATAAATCGGCATTTTGCGACCCCCACTGCCACTGTGTAGCATATTATTACGTGCCAGGGACTCTATGAGATGATATGACAATAGTCTGAGTCCATAATTGGCAATAAGTAACGGCAAAGGAGTTATAAGAGACTCACAGAATTGTGCGCAGTTGCGTATACAGTACACGACTTCCCTGAAGGCAAACACCTTCAGCGAGCGCGATGCCGATCACACGACGCAGTTCGAATTAGACCCTCGATCGATGACTGCGCCATCGCCGCACACGCGTCGAATAAAAAGCAAGGGACAAGTCCTTACTTACTAACAACTCCTCTATCATTTTTCATTGCTGGAGGGGTTGCCCCCCCTACCTGAAAATCCTGGCTCCGCCATTGGCTGCACCGCCGCTAGCTTTACTCTGAGCACTTTAATAATATCATTCCTCCCGTGTGGTTTGTGCAGATTGGTTTTCTCCACTCGCCAAAAAATATCACTTCAGAAAATAATTGACAAGCGGTCGGTCGGGATGGAGTGGTAGCGTAGGGTGGTCAGCGCACCGTACTCTGAACCAGGGGCGGTTTCTTCATTAGGGCGATTGGGCGACGCACCACCAATGTCATTCAACCACAGAGTCACGCTAGCCGTCACTGTGCCTCTGGATATAGTCCAATCAGCGTCATGCTACGTTCTGTGGAGTACCGCCTCTTTTTGGGCGATTTCCCTCCAGCTGAGAATCGCCCCGAGTGGCCCCATAGACTTACATTCAAAGATGTTTTTTTCGAACGGGGGCGCTGCAATGCATTCTCTATGGCTTCCGGGAGGGCTCGCCCTAACGTGCTTACGTCATCATACGTGCTTACGTCATCATACGTAAGCACGTTTCATCCAACAATATAATTTGTCGCCACCTAGTGGAATCTTTAATAAAAGAAACTTGAGTGGTTTGTTTTAATAGTGAGTATAGAAACAAACAAGATGTATTGTAAGAGTCACTTTATTTTTCATTAATATTAAAGAAGTGAAGTTGCCTTTACATGCTTAAGCTGTTAATTTATCCATTGCATGGGTGGACCTTATCCTTATCAATCATCCAGACATTTGCCCCCCCTGAGAGATTTTGCAGGAGCCGCCACTGCTCTGAACCCGGGAGACCCCAAGTTCGATTCCCGGCGATTATCTAAGCCAGCCCCGCGCCGTCTCCCTGCTCTGCCAGCCAACCCGTATTGACCAGCGTGGCGAAGTATGGTCGCACAAACTCCGTGACTGATACAGCTTGGGGACACCTCCGACCGCTCAGTGGCTTGGCGGAAAAGCTGTAAATGGGGATTGCCATCTCTTGGGGTACAAGACAGCAGGAATTATGTCGTGGGAAGTAGGATATCGTTGCTCGACCAGAAGAGGGTGGGAGTTGCATGAAAACTATTGAGTGGTGTATTCGACGAAACAAAAACAGTTTTTTATTTTACCAGGTAAGGCCCACTGAGCTGTAAAGCTCTTTTTCAGAAGCGACCTGGCCACAAATGATAACTTTTCACGTGGACATTTATAGAAGCCAAATACTAAAGACATTTGGTCATAAAATGTGGAGGGAAAAACCGAAGAAAAATCCACGTGATCACGGGGAGAGAGACATGCAAACTCCAAATAGACAGCACGCGTCGGGGTCAGGATCGAACCCACGACCTCCTGGATACCAGGCAAGGTAGTTAACATCTCTAATTACGGACTCTTAATGTCCCGGGAAGAACATACAGGTTTCTCAGGACAGCAGCTGCCTCGACGTGAGGACAAGGCGGGGCAAAGCCAGCAGACGTGGTAATGCTGGCTGCGAGCGGACCGCCAACGACCGATCCGAGAGTTAAGACGATCGAATCGACGCTTCGTTAACTTTGAGCGGTGGCTAACACGGCGCCTTAACTCTCCCCACCCTCCCTCCCCACACGCCTCCCTCCCGCTAGTACCGGCCGCCTCCGGACGACGATCGGCTGAGGCAGCAGGAGCAGGAGATCCGCAACCTGCGGTCGCAGCTGGCGATCCGTGACGCCCGCATTCGGCAGCTCGAACTCGAGCTCCGGAACCTGCACAACAGCGCGAGCCGTGCCGTCGTCCACCACCACCAGCACCAGCGGTACCAGCAGCAGCACCAGCAGCAAGTGCAGCAGCAGCAGCAAACGCAGCAGCAGGCGCAGTTCCCGTTGGCCACCGTGGGGGCCCAAGTGGCCGCACCTCTCTTCTTGACGCCCGCCGACGCGTCGGCCCGGCGCCCTGTCCTGGCGCGGTTCAACTCGGCGGCGTCGTCGCACTCCTCGGCGTGAGCCGAGAGCACGCCAGCCGGCAACCGGGGCATCGGCGACTGGTAATCGGGGCATCGGCGACCGTCAACCCAGTGACCGGGAATTTTTTTGTGCTCGGATTTAATTGATCCCATCGCCGGAGAATATTTAGTGGGTCGCCGGTTACCGGACAGCACCGACGAAGAATCGAGAAGGAATGGAATAAAGATCGGGAGGTTCTTTCCCTGCAGTGGGAATTTTCGGGCTGACAACAACAACAACAGCAGCAGCAGCAGCAATGGTAGACCGCAGGATGCACGTGCCTGGCAGGCACGGCCGTACCGAGCGGCGTGCCGAATGTGGCGCGCCGGGCAAGCCCTGGTTCTGCTGTCCGGCGAAGGGAGCTCCGGCGGGTGAGGTGGAAGACTGCGTCTCAGGTTTCGATTTTTTTAGTTTTCCCCGCATTGCCTGCTGGGTGAGTCCAGCGTCGCAGCTCGGTGGTCGTCGCAGATACAGGGTCGGGCTGTCTACATCCCCCCCCCCTCCTCCCCCGGCTTCCACCACTCCCCTGATCATCACCGACTTTTGAACTTTGGGGAGGAAAAATCCGTTTTACATCCTTACACGTGCCCCCCCCCCCCCTGCCCCCACGTTGGCTGCTCCGGGCCGACTACGAAGTCCTTGCTGGGTGCCTGGGAAAGCGGCCGAAATTGGGCGGATTGGGAACTGCGCAGCTCTGAGATCATGGAGGGAGGAGGTCTCTTAATCTGCCTCGTCTGCCTCGCCCCCCCCCCCCCCCCCAGTCTCACCCCTCCCCTCGTCACTTTTCACACGCAGCCTCGGTGTAACGCAAACGCGCGCCGTGTTTTGTCCCCCCCCCCCGGCGTGCTCCGGGAGGGTCCCTCCGAGGGTGGCGTTCGACGTCGCCGCTTCGCCGCTCTTCTTGCTTCGTGGGGCCCGCGGGCGGCCGCCCTTCGCCGCCCTTGCCCAGTGCGCCCCGATGTGGTGGTGGTGTCGTGGTGGTGTGGTGGTGGTGGCGTCGTGGTGGTGGTGGCGTCGTGGTGGTGGTGGTGGCGTCGTGGTGGGGAGCAGCAGCGCTACGAACCGGGCGACCCGAGTTCGATTCCCGCTCACGGCCACCAACACCAGTGACGGATTATCTGAACCGGTCCCTGGGCGCCCCCTGCCCCCCCTCCCCCCCTAGATCGACCCGGCCTCAAATGTGTGCCTGGTGCGGTGCGTAGTAAAACATCGCCACTGGGGAGACAAAGGCGGCCGGGCGTGGTGTTGGCCACCCTGCCCCTCCGTATGCCGTGCCGGCCTTTGTAGGTGCTCGCTAAGCAGCACTTGCCCCAACAGTCTGTCAAGGTTATATATATATATATATGGAGGGGTCTTTGTCGTGGTGGTGGTGATGGTAGGAATGTGATGCTGACGGCGGTGGTGGAGATGATGGTGGTGAAGCTGTTGGAGACGATAATGATGATGGTGGTGTCTATTTTTTAGTTTTTATAATTTTTTATTCTCATTTTACCATGTGAGTGCCACTGTGCTATGTAGTCCTTTTTTGTCATAAGCGACATGGCCACAAATAATCGCTCGACAAAAGGGAATCATCACGTAGAAATGTATAGCAGGCAAAACAATCCAAACGAATGATGTTGATTCTAAATGTGGAGGGAAAAAACCCTTGGGACCCGGAGAAAAATACACGCGACCACGGGGAAAGACACGCAAACTCCACATATACAGCAGCAGGCAGTCAGGGACTGGATCGATCCCACGACTGCCTGTATATCAGGCGAGAGAGTTAACATCTCGCCACCACCACGGCACACATGGTGGAGATGATAACGTGATCATAATGCAGGTGGTAGTGGTGTCATAGTGGAATTGATGATTGTGTAGGTGGTGGAGATGATGAAGATGATCATCTAGGTGAAGTTCTGGTGCCCTCGTGGTATAGATGATGATGATCATGGTGTGGGTGATGGTGACAGCGGGGCTAGCTTGCGGTCGCGGTGTGATGGTGAAGGGTGATGGTGATGATGGGTGATGCCCAAGTTAAGTGGCGGTTGTGCCATGGCTCCCGACGCTTGTACAGCCCCAGGTCCGCCAGTCTTTCAGCGCACGCCACGACCGAGGGAGGAGGCAGAGCACGCAGCCAGCCCAGCGGGGCGCCGTGGCAACGCGAGGCTCCTCCTGCTTTTTCCCAGCCGCCCAGGCAGTGAGAGTCGATCACTTGCACAATAGCAGAACGAGGGTTGTGGAGCGACGCACGAGCGGTCCAAATTATAATAACACGAGTGTATGTACCGTTGAAGCCTCTTTCGCCAACAACCGTGAATAACACTGGTCAACACACTTTTTCTGGCACAAGGTATTCCAACGGTTTAAGGTAATTTTGGGGTGCTGATTCCAAATCTGGCATCAGTTTTTGTCTATCACATCAGGTTTTTGATATATCAAATATTGCATTTTCAATAAAAACTGCAGAAGAAAAATATTAAATAAATTTGGATATCTACATAAAATGATATTATAAACACACTATCCTAAAAATACAGCATCATATTTTAACACTAAAGCAGTCACTGACTCGCAACAACTTGCAATCATAAGTGACAGAGTTAATTTCGGGTAAAATCAATGAAAATGGGGTATGCCTATAGCATAAAAATGAGATGTGATAGAGCAAATCTGGAATCAGCACCCTGAAATTAGTCTAAAACAGCTGCAAAAGTCCAGGCCAGAAAAAAATGTTTTTTTTTTGTTGACCAGTGTAATCGGACTGTGACTTCTTTAGTGCCCTGTGAAGACTTACACATTTCCCTTGGGCAGCTACCTCAACGAAAAAGATGATGATGATGATGCTGAGAGAAAACCAGGAACGGGTGATCGCGTTGGTTGAGCGATTTGCCCGAGCTCGCTGTGCTATATCTCCCATTATCTCTCTCCACACGCTCGCTCGCTCTCTCTCTCTCGCTCTCTCCACCTACAGCCACCGCCCCAACCCCCCGGAGGAATGCCGCTAGCCGACCGCTCGTATTGTATCGCCGAGAAATGAAAATATATTATTAACGAGCTCCACGGGAGAGGCAGCGGCATTGGGCCCCGTCTGCTGTAACGCGACGGAGAGCGTCGGCCGGGTAACGGTCGTGACACGACGCCCTCCCGCCCCGTCCGTGTGCCACGTCACCTGAAATTCAGACCGCAATCTCACGAGGGCACAAACGATTAGGGCCACCTCCGTCGCTGCTCCGCGCCGCCGTGTCAACCCATACGGTTTACCCGCTATTCTTGTACAGCGAGACGGAGTGTTAAACAAAACAAAAAAGTGTCGTCTGTTTGTGTTTCTCCCTTGCGATGGGACTTTGTAGGATGAACGTTGAGATTTCTAAGGGCACGGGGTGACCAATAGGGTCTGAATTGGTCTGTAATAATGTAGGGCACTGATAAGGGGTTGACAGGTATGCATCGAGCACTGCCACCACCCCTCCCTTATTACAGAACGGACCGAGAAGAATGTTGTTACAGCAGCAAGGCAAATGTTTTGGTAGTGGGGTTGTAGTTTGAGCTGAGGAGTCGTGCTTACATGGCAAGCACATCTGGCATCCATTCGGTTTCAATATGTTCTCTTTTTTTTAGACCGATTTTATTAATTTTTTTCTCCGTCAATTCCTTTCCTTTATCCATAATAGAGGTTATCTTTTGGGTGAGATCGCGTAAATATATAAATGTGTCGTTAGAACCCGCCACCACCCGACACAGCCAACTAGTAAGGGTTGTCACGTAAACAGAACGTGCCAATTCGTCACGAGTACGGCACTAACCGGTGTGTTGGAGAGCCAAGCCACAACATTTCCAACACACCGGCGTGCTGTACCAGTGACGAATTGGCCACGTTCTGTTGACTGACAACCCTTACGAGTTGGCTGTGTCAGGTTATGGCGGGTTTTAACGACGCATTTATATATTTACGCGATCTAACCCAAAAAACTCTATTATGGATTATATTGGCCGCGAAAGCCTACGACGTGTTACACTCCTTTCCTTAATTTTCAACCGGGGCCGAGGGCCTCTTTGTGAGAATACCAAGGGAGAGGCGGGTCGCCGAGTCACACAGGAGTACACGATTAGCACGGTTGGCTACGTACGGTGCGAAAGAAAGTTCAACGTACACACGTGCGTTGCGCGACGCTGAACGCCCGAGTATTAAGAGTGGCGTAGACGGTGCTCTTCAACTTGTGGATTTAAGGTAGTAAGAAAGAAAGCACGGGTGAAATTATTTTCACACGAAGCAAATGAGGCATTGTGGGAGACACTACATCGGAAACCCATTCCTTTAGAGCCACTTTCTGTGTGTCCAGGTTTGTTGTCCTTTCCCCGCACCTCCGATGAGCATGGTTGCCTACGTACGGCGCGAAAGAAGTTCAACATACGCGCATACATAGGAGGCAGGGGCAAAGATGTGCGTGTGTTGACATCACGCGCGTGCTCACGCTCAAATTCCTATTCCCTTGAGCGATTAGCAATCGTTACGGACTCCGGCAGAGAGACGCGTAAAACCCCCACTCGGGAACTCTCGCAAGCGAGCAGTGTGATCACCTCGTGGCAGACAAAAGCCACCACCATGTCTACTCTCCCTGTGCTCCCACGTTGGGCCATTGCCTCCACAGCACTCGCCCACTACTGTACACACACATTTCTGTGATAAGGCGGCGTTGGTCATGTTTTTAGCGGGTGGGTGGTGGTGGGTGGAGCGGTGTCTTATTTCCGCTGAACTTGAGATTTGCATTCGATTTAAAGCTTTCGTGACTGCAGGGATTCATCTTCTTGGTTCTTTTGGTAAAGTCACGTAGAAGGGAAATAATACAATAATAAAAATAAAACATAATCAAATATTTTTTAATGTTATATTTTTATTATTCAAATAATAATAATAATAAAATATTTTATTATGTTTTATTACGTAGAAGGGAAATAATAAAATAATAAAAATAATAAAAATCTAATATTTAATTGTTTTATTTTTATTATTTTATTATTTCCCTTCTACGTGACTTTACCGAAAGAACCAAGAAGTTGAGTTTTGCTTTACAAAAAATCTGCCTTTTGTTTGCGAGCTGCCTCTGCAAGGTCCCTCGCTCTACTGCCGGACCAGGGATTGTTTTAGTGAGCGTCAGTGCCAGATTAAGCTAGTGCGGGGCCTGTATCATATGTTATGAACGGGCCCTAAATAAAAAAAGCACGTAAATATTAAAACACATAAAATTTTTTACTTGCATAGTAAAGTAATTGAATTTTTTCATTTGCTATACGACAAATCGATAACCTTAAACACCCAGTCGTTCATAAAAGATTAATGTGGTCTAGTACTATAGTAATAGAGCAAGTGCAGAATCACTGAACCGGATTTGATAGCTTGAAAACATTTAGCGTGGGGCCCTTGAAAGTGCGGGGCCTGTAGCTACTATATATGTAGCTACTGTTGCTACTCGGATAATCCGGCAATGGTTAGCGTGCATCACTGTTGCTTTAAAAAAATGTCCCACGAGCTCCACTAAAAATGACCCCGAGTTCACGCCCACCTCAGAATCAGAATCTGATGGGCTATAAAGCTGTTCGTTCACAGATGTCCAGTCGGGTACGGGGCAGAGAGCTACGATAACAAGCGATACAAAAAACACGTTAGGAGTGCAAAGTATAGGAAAGTGAATGAAATCACACGAAAAATAAGAGTAAACAATTTTTTTTTATTTCACCAGGTAAAGCCCACTGAGCTATTAGCTTCTTTTTCAGAAGCGACCTTGCCACAAATGATAGCTCAACGAAGTGGCTCATCACGTGAGCATGTATAGCAGCTAAATAATCTAAACGCATGTTTTTAAACGTGAAGGGAAAAACCGGAGGACCTGGAGAAAAAATCCACGCGACCACTGGGAGAAAGACACGCAAACTCCAAATATACAGCAGGCGTCAGGGTCGGGATGGAACCCCAGACCTCCTGCATACCGGGAGAGGAATATAACATCACCTCCGTTCAGGGCCATACACCGACACGCAGTCTCAATGATTGTTCTCCATTGTGCTTGGGTTCCCACCTTCAGAGGTACCAAAAACCGAGACATATCATGGGAGTAAGGCTTATATCTATGTTCTATGTACCACGAAATGTGGAATACTACTCGTTAACGTTTCGTCTTGAGTGATGTGTCATTATGCAACCGACACTACTTTTAACATCCCGGGAAGACGTATTTATGTTTTTCTGGGACAACTACCTCAACAAGAGGACGACCCTGCATGGATGGGGGGGGGGGGAAACAAAAACGCCAGGACAGGGTAGCAATGCTGCTCGTGCGTCGGTAAGCAAACACCTGTGGTCAGTCTTAAACTCGTCACTTCGGCTGAGGGATGAAAGCAGATTGTAACGGGACATTCGTATCCAGCTCCACGATTTCCGGGCGACACTCTGAACATGCGCGTTCATCACGTGGTGGCTTTTTCAACCTTCGGGCAACACAGAACGTCAAAAACCAATGCACGCGGCAAAACCCCCCAAAAAATAATAATACAATTCCGGAGATGAATCGATCATCTCGACCTTCCTTGGCAACGGCGAAACAGGCCGCGAAGTGCCGGCGGTGCGTCCCGGAGCCATCACGTGTCGTGGTCGAAACGAGCCACAATTCTGTCAGCCCGCAGATCGGACGATCGCCTTCCAAACCAAACGTCGTCTTCCCGAAGATGACAGACGAGGGCCGACGATCCGGGATGGACCCCCCCACCGCCCCGAGCGGGACGCGTGGCCCCGTGTTGCTGGTTCGGAACGGACGCCGCGTAGATTACGAGGGTAATGTTTTATTGTTTGACTGTGCGGTTGGCCACATTTGTTAAGAGTCGGTAGAAGCTGCCCCTCCCACCACCACCACCCCTTGGGGAGCAGGGTCAGCTGGGCTTATATCCGAAGTGCTCGTATCAGAAGTTGCCAGAACACCACTGCCAACCGTATAGTTGTTTGTGCCTAATCTGGTCGCGTGACTGGCAACGTGGTCGAGATGTCTTTGTGGGGTGGCTGGGTAAACTCACAGAGATGCGGGCACCTGGGTTCGAATCTGGATGGGTCTCAGACCCAGACGCCAGTGAGTGCACACAAACCCTGTGACGTTAAACTTCGCTTTTGCACTTTTAATTATGGCCAAAAAAGAAAAAAAAATCCAAGCTTTGAGAATGATTTTTTTTTATTGCAATGCGATGGACATCACATCTCGTTGGCAGAGTAGATTGGTGCGTGGAGGGAGGAGTGCTACTGCCTTACTGAGATGGATCAGAGAGATGTCGGAGGTAACTGTGTCCGGTGTCCCTCTCCGTGGGTCGTTTCGCTAACTCGGAGAGAGAAGAGAGACATCCGACCAACTCCCTGCGCCTCAGCGTCGTGACAACGACGGAGCAATCCGGGTTACAGCTGTGGGAGGAGGAGGATGCAGGGTGGGGTTGGGTGGCAAAAGATTACGGGAAAAATGTCTTCGAATTCCACGAACCAAGTGAAACCACCTGCGCCGTTCAGAGAGCCCAAGTGGATTCTGTTCCCCAGCGGGCCGGAGCCAACGCCCAAAGCGCAGCGTGGATTCTGACCGGCGTTGAATGTTTACAGCGCTGAACGGGTTGTACGATCGCTGCCGGATTTTTTTTTTAAACGACGCTTCTTGTTCTTTGTTGTTCTACGTTCCAAAATGGATAAACGCGACATCCGGATTGGCGCGTCGAAACGCCGGCTTCGCGTTGTTTTTTTTTTACGCGCCCGGGTACCTCCCAACCGTTTTGCGGATACGAAAGTATAAAGATTAATATAATTTGTGAGTCGTGTTCGTTTTGTTGTTGTTGTTGTTGAGAGGTGAGAAATAAGGGGGTTGCTGATTTTAAAAGTTAATTTTAATCACAGAGATCTGTGTTTTCTGTATTTGTCGACAGAGCATTTTATACGCATGCACGCGCAATGAATGCATTGGACATTTACAGCGTATGTATTTGTTGAAATTACCTTATGGTACTTATAAAAAATTATCCATATACATCCAAATAAAATCTGAGCTTCATAACTTGTTTGTTGTTATACGTGATGTGTGTGGTACACCGATAACACTGTGTAACAATTTTTTATTTTGTTTTGTTCCTGGGTAGTAAGTGGTATTTCCTAATTGCTTATGCCTCAAAAGTACAGAAAATGGCTATTATTCCCCACAAACTTTGCTTTTGTGACCAGGACAGTGATATTTTGAAATGTACCTATTTTCCAGAACATTCCAGATAGATTCAGTGCTAAGTAAACTTGGAGTAACTTCTAGAACATTCTAGAACTTTCCAGTAATATAAATAGTAGTATAAATACAGGGGCCTTAAGCCCACTAGTTCAGTTTAGTTCCAGCTGCCTAAGTGCATACATATCTGCATTTTTCTGAGATGGCATCAAGAGGCTGCAAGCATCCGGCAGACGCATTTTGCTTGTCTGCGGCCAATTTATCAAGACAAGAGCGAAAAAGTAGTCTGTGGAAGCATCTGCTAAGATGTGTGAGGCCTATGAGGCATATTTCGGCATGCCTGTCGGCGATCAAGACAAACCCTGGGTAACTCGTTTCACCTGCGAGCAATGCAAAAAAAACTCTGGAAGGTAAGATGGACAATTGTTTTCAATTTTTTTATGTTTTACAATTTTCAATAAATATATTTTTGTAGGATGATACAGAGGGGAAAAGAAAGCAATGAAGTTCGCTATCCTAAGAAATTGGCGAGAACCCACTGACCACTCAAGCAACTGCTACTTCTGCATGGTGGACCCTTCCAAACGTCGGACTGGCAAGAATGCACCTGCTAGCACGTATCCGGACCTTCCTTCAGCCATCGCCCCGGTGCCACACTGCCATGAGCTCCCAGTACCCAATCCTCCAGAGAGAGAGCAGCCGTCTTTAGAAGAGAGAAGCAAGTCAGAGAGCGAGGAAGACGTTGTAGATTCAAATGACAATTTCAGAGGGGGAGCTGAGGAGAGAAACCCATACTACCCCAACCAAAAAGACCTCAACGACTTGATCAGAGATCTTGGTCTCACCAAGTCCAATGCCGAGCTTTTGACGTCTAGGCTCAAGCAGTGGAACTTGTTGGATAAAAGTGTGCAAGTCGCAGATCAGAGGAAGCGTCACCAACCTTTTTGCAGCTTTTTCACCCGTCAAGATGGGCTCCGCTTCTGCCACAATGTGACCAATCTGTTCGAGGCAATCGGAATCGCCTGTAACCAGAATGAGTGGCACCTCTTCATTGTCAGCTCATCCAGGAGCCTCAAAGCCGTGCTGCTCCATAATGTAACAAATACCCGTCTCTTCCCCTGGCTCACTCGGTGCACCTCAAAGAGGATTACAACAGCATCAAGACCTTGCTGGACGCCTTGAAGTATGATGAGTACGGCTGGGAGGTCATCGGAGACTTCAAAATGGTGGCATTCCTGATGGGTCTCCAAGTCGGTTTTACCAAGTTTCCCTGCTATATTTGCCTTTGGGACAGCAGAGACACCAAGGCGAACTACCATAGGTGGGACTGGCCACATCGGACCGAGTTCTCTGTGGGGAGGAACAACGTCAAGTGGGAGCCACTGGTGGACCCCTAGAAGGTGCTGATGCACATCAAATTAGGCCTTATGAAACAATTTGTCAGAGCTGTAGATAAGGAGTCGGCAGCCTTCAAATACCTTCAAGACTTCTTCCCTAAGCTATCTGAGGCAAAGCTCAACGCCGGTGTCTTCGTCGGACCACAGATAAAGAAGATCCTGGAGTGCAATGAATTTCCCAAGAAGCTCACTAGAAAGGAGAAAACGGCTTGGAACAGCTTTATCGCAGTGGTTCATAGCTTCTTGGGCAATCACAAGGTCGAAAACTATGTGGAGCTGGTTGAGACTCTGGTGAAGAACTACGGCACAATGGGCAGTAGGATGTCCCTCAAAGTCCATATCCTTGATGCTCATCTTGATAAATTCAAGGAGAACATGGGAGCGTACTCGGAGGAGCAAGGCAAGCGCTTCCACCAGGATATACTGGACTTTGAATGCCGCTACCAAGGACAGTATAACGAGAACATAATGGGAGACTAAATTTGGGGGCTGATTCGTGAAAGTGATTTACAGTATAATCGTAAATCTCGTAAAACTACGCACTTCTAAATCTTTTGTAGTCATTTTTGCATCACTTTAGTATAAATACATGTTAATTTTGATGCATGTTGTTGTTTTCTGACTTTATGTGAACGAAAATACACAAATTCGCCCGTTTTCTCATTGAAAATAGGTACATTTAAAATATCACTGTCCTCGTCACAAAAGCAAAGTTTTTCGGGGAATAATAGCCATTTTCTCTACTGTTTATGCATTAACAATTACGAAATAACACTTTCTACCCAGGAACAAAAATTGTGTTCCGTAGTGTAATTATTAGCGCAATGGGCTCGGAACCCGGTGGCGGGTTCACAGTCACAGCTACAAACATCAGTGGCGAGTGACATCAGAGCTGGTCCTGCCCTCTGCGACCCCACTGCAACCGCCCCCTTCCGTAGTGATACACATTGTGGTGAAGTATGGTCAATAAAACCCCAATGTGGTGAGTCCCATCATTGGCGGATTGAAAATGGTTTAGGGTGCATTATTTTTCGTACTTTAATCGGCGAATCCTGTAAACTCTTGCAGAGTAAAATAACGAAAAATCCCCATCGGGTTGTGAGATATCGCAAGAGATTGCCGAAAGAGAATCAATTCATTCGAAACCCCTTCCTGGAAATGTTTTCAAAGCAGCACGGTTTTTTTTTGTTTTCAACTGGAGCACTCCCCTCCGTCGCACACAACGGATGCCTGTGTCGCTGAGCTACAAGGCAGCGATAGCCGCTGCCGCTGCGGGGGGGGGATATCGTGGAATAAGAAATTGCGATCGTTGCCCTCCGACGCATTCTCAAGGTTGTTGGCTGCAAAATGTTGTTCGGCTTTCCGAAGAAGCCTCCCCCGACATAGGCAACGTAAGTGTCGGGCATAAACTACTCTTCTGCTTAACTTTTTCTCGTAATTGCTAATGCATAAACATCTTCTTGGTTCTTTCGGTAAAGTCACGTAGAAGGGAAATAAAAAAATAATAAAAATAAAACATAATAAAATCAAAATTCTCACGACGTTTCGGCCACAACACAAGCAGCAGTCATCAGGTGAAGAAACAGAGCAGCCGTCCTCAGGTGAAGAAACATAGCTCTATTTCTTCACCTGAGGACGGCTGCTTGTGTTGTGGCCGAAACGT